CGGGGGTCGGCAGTCTTCAGAGTGGTCGGCGGGCTTCGCAGCGTCGCCGGGGGATGTGGCACCCCCCGCCGGTCAGACTTTGAGCACAGATGTAAGGCGCAACGGAGCATGCCTGTGCATCCCGCGACTCGTGACATGCACTTCGGAGGCCGCCGCCACCCGCTGCCGCTCCTTTCCCCGCAGCAGCTCGGCCCACATCGACGTGTTTCTCCGCCGCGCCTCACTCCCCACCGCTCCCGTGGCCCAGGGCTCGGGATCGGACTCGCGGCTGGGGCGGCGGCGGCCGCCGTCCGACGGGCTGTCTCGGGCGAGCAGGAAGCGCACCAGACAAGAGAGCCTCCAGTCTCAGGTCCCCCTTTCAGTGGCCACCTCTATGCTCATTCGAAGCGGCCTTGTCTCGTGGAGGGAAGAGCTAGAACCATCATTGAGGAGGGAGGGACCCCGCCCGACCCGCGGAGACTCTTGACTTTGTGAGGGCGGCCGGCACGGCTGCACCACCCCTCTCATCGTACGAGGCTGAGCGCCACGCACAGAGAGAGGGCATCTAGATACTGAACAGCCAGCACGCGCAAGTACCGCGGCACAACAGATACCAACGAGAGGCGAGAGGCGAGAGCAAGCAAGTGATCTCTCTGCCTCTCCCTCAGCAGGAAGCGCACCCGCTGCTCATGAACGAGGCGAACGTGGAGCGTCTGGCAGCGACGCTCTGCCGGCTGCGCGGCGCGGCGCTCAAGGTGGGGCAGATGCTCTCCTTCAACGACGCGGACGTGCTCCCTCCCGCGGTGCGCACGCTCATGGAGCGAGTGAGGAACGGTGCGGACTGGATGCCGGCGTGGCAGCTGGAGGAGTCTCTGCGGCGGGAGCTGGGCGACCGGTGGAGAGAGCACGTCGAGGCGTTTGACGAGGAGCCGGTCGCCGCAGCCTCGATCGGGCAGGTGCACCGCGCGACGCTGGTCGACGGGCGGAGGGTCGCAATCAAAGTGCAGTACCCCGGCGTCTCCGACTCGATCGTGTCCGACTTGTGGTCGATGCGTCAGCTCGTCACGTGCACCGGCGTGGTCCCTCCGGAGCTGTGAACAGCGTCTCCTCACACCTGCAGCCGTGAACAGGTACACCGGCGTGGTCCCTCCCGGCCTCTACCTCGACCGGGTGCTCGAGGTGGCGCGCGAGGAGCTGCTGGAGGAGTGCGACTACGAGCGCGAACAAGAAAAAAACGGCGGCCAAAAGGAAAGAAACCGCGCGTACTCTAGGAGTGCGACTACGAGCGCGAGGCGGCAAACACCACCCGGTTCAAGAAGCTGCTCTCCCCGTACACGGAGCTGGCCGTGCCCGCCGTCGTGCCGCAGCTCTCCTCGAAGGCGCCTGGCCCTGCAGCGCAACGCCTGTCACTGCGAGATGGGCTCTGGAACCATGGCGGATGTCCTGTTCTTCCCGCCCCCTCGTCCCGCCCCCTCCCACCATCCCCTAGCACAACAACACCCCACACCCTTCCTACCCCCCCCCCCCCTCTCCTCCTGCTCGAAGCACGTGCTGACAACAGAGTGGATGGCGGGACTGCCCATCGACAAGGCGGCCGCGGAGGGCGCCATCGAGCCCGCGGAGCGCGACCGGATCGGGGAGAGGCTGCTGTGGCTGACCCTCTCGGAGCTCTTCAAGTTTCGCTTCATGCAGACGGATCCCAACTGGTCCAACTTTCTGTACGAGCCGCGCACGCGCCAGCTGTCGATGATTGACTTTGGCGCGTGCCGCGAGTACGACGCGCCCTTCGCAGCCTCGTACCTCCGGCTTGTCCGCGCTTGCGCCGACGGCGAGCTCTGCCCGCCGCCGACAGCTGCCCCGCCAGAGGGGGCGCCCGAGGGGCCGCGCTCGTCTGCTCACGCCGGCTGCGCGATGCGACTCAGGCGAGGCACAGCGCGAGGCCATCTTGCACCACTCGCGAGAGCTCGGCTTCCTCACAGGCGAGGAGGGACGCACGATGCTCGACGCGCACACGCGCGCTGCGGTCCTCGTCGGCAGGTGCACTCCTCTATCTGCCTCTATCTCCCCGTATCTCCCCGCATCTCCCCGCATCTCCTCGCATCTCCTCGCATCTCCCTGCATCTGCCCGTATGGCGTATCTGCCCGTATCTCCCCGTATCTCCCCGTATCTCCCTCTATCTCCCTCTCGCGCTCCCGCAACTGCCCAAAGAGCCTCGACGGCCCCTCGGTGCCGGGGCGCGGCCCTGCAGGCCCTTTGCGGACGGCGAGCAGCCGTACGACTTTGGCAAGCAGACCATCTCGAAGCGCGTCACCGGCGATGTGCAGACGATGCTGCGCGAGCGGCTGACGCCGCCTCGCAAGGTGACACCGCACGCCCCGCGCCTCTCCGACGATACGCGTCCTCCGACTCACCGCGCGCGCCCTGTGCGGGCAGGAGATCTACTCGCTTCACCGGAGGCTCAACGCCTGCTTCCGTGCTTGTGATGAAAGGGTCCGTTACTCTTAGTTCACCCACTTCGTGTAGGCTCAACGGCTGCTTCCAGCTCGCGTCGCGCGTCGGCGCGCGGATACGGGCGCGCGAGATCCTGCTCGAGATCGAGCGAGATCACGAGGCAGCGGAGCAAGCTGCCGAATTGGCTGCGGAGGAGCAGGCAACCGCTTGAGGGCGTGCACACATCCGAGCTCGTGTGTGTTGGCTGCATGTTGCTTGCTGCGCCGCGCCGGGCCCGCCGCACAGTCTCTGGGGATGTGAAGGGAGAGCTGTATGTATATGTACCAGGCACGTATATGGGCCAATGTGCGGTACGCGTGGGCCGTGGCGTCGCGTAAGGCGTAACGTAACCATGTGACCAAGACACAAAGACGGAAAGACGGGTGCAGGAAAGAGAGACACGCCAGACATCACGCCCACAGTGGCCAAGCACTCTCCACTGTCACATAACACCTCACCGGAGAGGCGCGAGGCCGAGGGCGAGTGCGGCCAAGGGGGCCAGCAGCAAACGGCGCTCTCGATGCAGGGCCAGGGGCGAGAGGTGAGCGAGAGGAGAGCGTGGGATATTGGGGAAGTTCGCCTCTCTTGGCCGCTCTAAAGAGCTCGTGAGACGCGAGCGACGCAGCTGGGTGCAGGCCAGCTTCTAGTAGAGCACGCCATTTTCGTCAGCGTTGACCAGCGGGATAGTGAGGACGGGGTCTCCCCCCAACCTTGAGGTTAGCAGCACCCAGATAATGTAGAGGAGATGGAGCGCGATGAGGAGATAGCCCACCCAGGGCCTCAGCTTCCACGACGAGCACAGCATGACTGCAAGCAGGAGGAGGATGTACCCAAACAGGATTATGACCGAGGCGACCAAGCCCTCCGTCAGCGCCGAGCTCGCGTACGGCCCACGGATGAGGTCGCAAAGCATCCACGGGAAGCCGAGGCCCACAAAGATGTTGAAGACGTTACTGCCGATGACGTTGCTCACCGCCATGTCGCCTTGCCCGTCGCGGGCGACAGAAATGGAAGCGAGCGCGTCGGGGACGCTCGTGCCAGCGGCGATGATGACCTGCCCCATGACAGCTTGCGGCAGATTCATGACGCAGCCAGCTCGGCGGCAGAGCTCAAGCATCGCGAACGAGAGCCCCATGATCCAAATGACAGACATGAAGAAAGTCACCACGTACCTGCCGCGCAGCGGGCCCGTTTTAGGGGTGCGTCGAGGGTGTCCGTTCTGTTCGTGTGCATTGTGAGTTTGGAGCGGGGCGGCGGGTGGTGGCTGGGCGGGGGCGGCGGGGGGGGGGGGGGGAAGGGGGGGGTCTCACCACTTCCGCCAGCGCTCCTTGCGGCAGTCCGGGACGGTGACGAGAAAGAGGCACGCATACGGCAGGCTCACTAACCACACCACTCTGCTCAGAGCAGTTGGTCGCCCCTCCTCGTCGGCCTCGCCCTCGCCCGTGCCATCTGCAACTTTGCTGGAGCCAATCGACCCCAGCGTCCCCGTCTCACTAGCCGCACTATCAGTGTCGGTCTTGGCGTCGGAGTCTGCCTTCGCCTCGATGTCGGCCGATGGCACCACCCGATTGGTGCTCTTTTGCCCACCCCGCCTCCGGGTCTCGAGCCACAGCACCACCCTGCTGTTTAGGTAGACGACATAGAACAGGTAGACGCAGTACCCCAGCAGCAGAATGAGGCCCTCCCACCAGAGGACTTGGCCATCGCGTATGCACAGAAAGAGCATGACGATGGAGGCAGCGTAGAATGTGGTGTCCCGCAGGATGGGGTAGGCTGCGATTTCAAGGACCTTGCCGGCAAAAATCGCGCAGAGCCCGATGATGATCATGAGGTTAAAAATCGCAGAGCCGACAATTGTGGCAATGCCTTCGTCGCCCTTCTTCCCTGCCACCGGGCCGCCTGTGATGATCGCCACTGCGAGCTCCGGCGCCGACGAGCCTATGGCCATGAGAGTGCAGCCCGCGACATCGGGCGACAAGCTGAGGTAGTCTGCGAGAAGCTCGAGTGACTCGACAAAGTACTCATCGCATATAATTGCAATGCCAAGGAAGAGGTATAGCACGCCCAGGAGGTGCAGGAGCACCCCGCCGCTGAGTTCCCACTGCTGCAGTCCCAGATCACCCATGCATGCCCCCAATCCACCGTCCTCCGTCGAATTCACCTCGCTGAGTCGCCGGTGCTCTGCCGTGGCGGGCGCGACAGCGAGAAGCAACAGGGCACCGCAAGCAGCGGGTGCGAGGAGTAGGTACCCTGTCAGGCGTGAGCGCCGTCTCCTGCCGCGCTTGTCCCGGGCAGGTGTAGTCGCCATGCGCCCGACCAATGGCAACACTTCGTTTCGCCGCCGAGTGAAACGATCGCGCGGTCCGATGTTTCCACAGCGTGGGCCTCTCCCTAACGCACTTACATGCTCTTTCCCTTCCGATGATTCGAGTACGTGCGCTTGCGCTATTTCTGCTTGTTGACCAACTATGGGAGCACAGGACGGTTCTTTTCTTTCGTCCTTCTTCACGTCCTCACCTGTTTCTTTCTTTCTCCGGGGGAGCAGAAAAAGGGAATTCGCGAGCGCTCAGAAGTAAGTAATCATGACCTGGCGAGACTAGGTTACTGGGGGGCGGCTTCGTTTGAAGGCAAGGTTTTCTTTGCGCCTGCAAACCTCGAGACGCCCATCGGCATGCT